ATACTTTACTTACATGATGAGACAAGTGGTTTGGTTTTTAGAGAGGTGTGAAGAGGAAGAAACAATGAAGTTAGAGTAAGGATTAATGGGATTTTTTAAAATGAAACATTGAAGGATGCTGGCCAGGGAAAATAATCTGAGCAGTATTCCAGAAAGCCTGGACTTAAGCTGTATCATAACCAGCACTATATACTTAGTGATATATAGATTTTGATAGGAATATATTCACAGAAAAGGCTTCACTGGACTTTGGAGTGGTGGCTCTAACAACCATAACTTTTATAAAAGCAGTATGCTGGCTCTTCTAATTATTTTGATTCTTTTGTAACTCTCTCTCTCTCTCTCTCAGTTCCCACCTACTCTTTCTCCCTTTTTTCTTCTGCCAAAACCTTAGCTCTCAATCAGTTTAATCTCATACAAGTATCGTTCATAAGACTCATAATAGAAGTATGTATGTGTGTGTGTGTGTGGGGGGGGGGGGAGGAAATGTCCACATGTGGAAATCTATAAGTAATCCTCATTGCTAAAAGGTGAGGAGGCTAAATGCCGAGAGAGGCTTCCAGAAATCCTTCATGCAAAGTGCTCATAAAAGAATGGGTTGTACATTAAAAACTCACTCTAAATCCCCCCTCCCATTTTCCCATTTCTATTTTTGCTTTTTAAAGCCTCAGTGCCAGAGTTGCAATGAAATGTTAGTACAAGCATCCTGGGTACTGACATTCAAGTAATCATCCCAGAACATCCCATTTGACATTGGGATTTCTGTCTCCCCCTTTCCACTGCTACAAGTAGCTTTTAAATCTTCTGTACTCATTGCCCTTCTCCTGTCGGCAGCATTGCCATGTTTCAAATGAAAAGAACAATTTATTTATGACTTTTAAAAAGAAAGTAGGACAATTCTGTGGTTCATCTTTTTTTTTTTTAAAAAAAAAAAAAAGCTGTCCATTTTGTAAGTGTTTGATTTATTCTGAAAGAGTAAACACTTATTTTCTCAGATTGCTACCAAGGCAATTTATGTCTGTCTGTATGTATTTAATAGACTACTTTTCTCCCATATAGGACCCAAAGTGGTTTACATGTTAAAAGTTAAAACAATATTCAAGTAAAACAATTAAAACAATATACACTCACACAATGTAGCTAAAACAATCTCTAATATAAAAATTAAAAATGAATTCAACAACAAAATCCAATGAAAAACATTAGTTTAGAAAACTTAAAAGCATATTAATACCTCTTACACATTAGGAAACAGCACATCTGTTGGCACTATCCTGGTGGGTGCATCTACACTGTAACCGTTTGACACCACCTTAAGTGATGTACATTCCTCCTGGGATTTGTAGTTTTACAAAGCCTTTAGCCTTCTCTGTCAGTGTGTTGGTGTCTCAGAAAACTACAAATCCCAGAATTCTGTAGGATGGAGCCATGTCAGTTAAATTGGTGTAAAACTGCATTATTTCTACAGTGTAAATGTGCCAGTTGAGTTAAATGTGCCAGTTGAGTTAAAGGCCTGCATAAATAAGATATTTGCCTGCTAGTGAAAAGAGAGCAGAGAGGGGATGAACTGAGCCTCCTTTGGACAAGCATTCCATAGTCTGGGAATAACCACCAAGAAGGCCCTCTGCTGAGTCTTCACCAGATGGGCCTGTGATGATTGTGGGACCGAAAGAAAGCCCTGCCTCAAATATCTTAAAATTCAAGTAGCCTTTTATAGGAGATATGGTCTTTCAGATTACAATATTTAATAATAATATTACTTCTTACCTGCCTCTCCCCGTGGCTTATATAGCCTGGACCTAAGCCATGCGTATAGGGCTTTGTAAGTCAAAACCAGCACTATATATCTAATAATATATAGAATTCAACCCCCCTCCCTTGTGTGTGCAGGTGGCTTTCTTACCTCTTGTTGTTGTGTGCCTATAAGTCATTTCTGATTTATGATGACCCTAAAGCAAACCTATCATGGGGTTTTCTTGGCAAGATTTGCCATTGCCTTCTCCTGGGGCTGAGAGTGTGTGACCCATCCAAGGCCACCCAGTGGGTTTCAAGGCTGAGCAGGGAATTGACCCCTGGTCTCCAGAGTTGCAGTCCAGTGCTCAAACCACTATGCCATGCTGGCTCTGTACTTATGAAATATACCGTATGCCTCTGTGTATGTAGCCTATTCAAATTCCCAACTATGAGATGTGGCTGGAAAACTGGAAATAGTAATAATAATAATAATAATAATAATAGAAATCTTGGTGTTCATGTAGAAATATACTAGCCATGCCTTATAAACCATTCTTGCATGGCAGGAAACAGCAGTAATTGTGTGATCTTGACCATCGTGGTACATTTGTAGTTTCAAAGATTGCTTGAAGAACTTAAAGGAAAGGTGGGAATTGTTTCACAAACCATACAAACATGCTGGTAACCAAGGTGTCATTTTAATTGTTCCCTCCTTTGATGGCCAACATAATTTATTCTGTGTTTATCTACATGACTCTCAGTTGTGAAATGTGACCCAGATTCCATATGCACTCCCGACTTTCATTAGGCAAGAATGACACATACTTATCATTAGAGTGTACTAATTACAAGAGAAAGTGACATTTCAAAGTAAAATCCTTCCCTGGGGTTTAATGAAAGACTACCTGGTTTATTTTTGTTTTAATGAACTAAAGCAGTGTGTCTTCTCATTTCTGAACTGGCTTTCCTCTCTCTCTCTCTCTTTCTTTCTCTCTCTTTGTTTGATTATTTTTTTTTAAAAAAATAACAGTTTAAAAGTCTCTCTCTTGTTACCTGTGTTCTCTCTCTGTCATGACTAGGTTGGCATATTGTGGATGAAATATGGCCTTGTAATAATAGTGTGTTAGTATTAATGACATTTCAGGGAGATAGTGTTAAATCCAGTGGTGTAATGGAGGGAAAACTCCAGGGAGACCAAGACTTTTTCCAGATAAAAAAATAATAATGATATCTGCAGTAATATCAGTGTAATTGATGGATCCTTCCCACTCTGGAAAATGAATTAAGCAATAACAAGGTTTTTTATATCTCACTGTTTTTTAGTGACTGATTAGCCTACTGTATGTCAGAGAATGAAGAAAATAATCAGGCAAAGGCTATATACTAATTTATTTTCTTTGATGCGGTTCCTAATTCATGATGGTAGCAGTTTAAGTAGTACCACTTCTCTTTCCAAGATCATTTACTATTCAAATTATACGCTAAAGGTTTCATTCCAGCTGATTCAAGAACTTTAGTTAGCATACTTTTCAAGTTGAAACTGTGCCACCAGAAGTGAACTGAAGTGAAAATCAATGGTGCTTCCTACACTTGATCTTAGCCAAAAGGCCGAGAAGCGATAATGGTGCTTCCTCATGCCTCATAAACATAATTGTGAGATTTTTTTCCATAGTGTTTTTGTGTATTTATTTTTGGAAATCTGTATTTTATGATGATATTGTTAAGCAGTTCCTGTCACAGTTTGGAATGTTCACCTTTGGATGGACAACAAACACACTTTGAGAAAATTTGGGAAAAATCAAAAGGAAATGCAATTTTGTTTCACATATATCATTATGTTTATGTTATTTTATGTGTTTTACTTTTATTTATCTATATGTTAGATATGTATGTATCTTTTATAGATATATTATTTATATAGTTAATTTATATTTATTTATACAGGTGATATATTTACTTTTGCAGGTGGTTAAAAAGCAAACCAACAACATTTCTCTTAAGTGTGTCCTTGATTTAAAAAGCAGGATCTGCCAATTGTGGGGGTTTAACATTTACCCCACTGCTTTTTCAGCAAATGTGAGGCTCTGGCCAAACCTCCGTCATCACCAAATGTGAAGACTTCCACAAATCCCAAGAGTGAAAGCTTTCCCTTGTCCCCAACTATGCCACCAGTGTAAGGACCTCCTACTGCCATGCCCACTATTGTGGGGACCTTCTAAATGCCCACAAGGTACCTGTGTAAGAGATGCAATTTCTATACTCTCCTTGCACCACACTTCTTTATTCACTGCTGCCATAGAGATCATATCTCAATATCAGCTTTCTAATATTATTATAGCATTCCATTAGGCCAAAAAGGGATACAAGCTTCTCCCATATTTTGATGGTTCAGTTTCCAATGCCCTGCTCTTTTGACACTTGCAAATTATAGGCAAGTCCCATTAATTTGACAGGGCTTCGGCCCTTTCTTCAGTTCTTCTTGCCTATGAGACTCACTTGTGACAGTTTGCACACAATTTTGGATCTCTATGTATGTATGTATGTATGTATGTATGCAAGTATTCTCTCTGTGTGTGTGTGTTATGTGTTGATTTAGTGTTTGAATGCATTGAAACATGATATTTAGTGTGCTGTTTATGTTTTCAGTGACCCAAATGCATTTGCAAACTAAAAACTCCCTATGTTCCACTTTTCAACCAATCCCACTTCCTGACCGTCCTCTACTGCCTACCCCATCAGGTAAGTGAGGGCTTCCTGTAAATACAAAAATAATAGTTTATTAATAGAAACTGAATATAACAAAACACATATATAACAATATATGTAATATAAGGATACAGTTACTCTTGACTCAGTGGAAATTACTAGCAGAGGAATGAAGGACAGATTTTTGGCCATCCCCACTCCTGATTTTTCCCTTATGCTTCACAATTTGCTCTAAGAAATTGACATACCCTTTTTTGGGGACAGTGTGAATAGTGAGTTGGGAAGGTGTTTGTTGTTGGTTTGCAGGGAGAAATCCTTCCTCCCTGGTCTGCTGAGGAAAACCACTATTAGTTCAAAAAGCCTTTGGTTGGTGAACTGACACCAACTTGGTACGACTTCTGTTGTAGTTGTGTGCCTTCAATTCATTTCCAACGTATCGCAAACCTAAGGTGAATCCATCACAGGGTTTTCTTGATAAGTTTCTTCAGAGGGGTATTTCCTTTGCTACTCTCTGAGGCTGAGAGTGTGTGACTTGTCCAAGGTCACCCAGTGGATTTACATGACCAAGCTGGGATTTGAACCCTGTTCTCCAGAGTCATAATCCAGTGCTCAAACCACTATGCCAAGATGGCTCTCTAATCATTTATAATTTTAAAGGATTATAATTTTTAAGATGACTACACTTTTTAAAAATTCATGACATTTTAAGACGGTAGCTTATTTAATTGTGTTAGAACATTTTCATCATAACATTTTTAGCTTTCACTTGTTGTAACTTTGTTGTAAATTGCCTTGGGTCCTATGTCATGAGAAAGACCCAATATGAATAAAATAAAATAGCCCACACCAGGTAAGTGAAATTTTTGAAATGTAGATACCCACTGAATAATAATTAACATGTTGGTAGTAAACCTGGCTCTTGGAATAGGCCTTGGTGGTAGTAAACCTGGCTCTTGCAAATGTACTTATATCTGAATGTATTCAGTCTTTGTGGTATAAGGTTTGGCCAACAGATTAATTTATATTAAGTCTTATCGGTTAGCAGAAATGGAAAAATATTTCATTGCTCCATGATTTCACCCCTATGCCTGAACTGAGATACAGTACAACTACTTGGCTTCTTTGACCATGCAACCTTTCAGATTTGTATGTATTCAGGGAAAGTTTACATGGAAGTCTTCCAGTTTCCAGATCTGCCATTAATATTTTTTCACACATAGTTCATTTCCTCATTTGAATTAATTTAGTATTAGAAAGTCCCTAATCTACAGATACCAGAAACATGAGGCTTGTCAATCCAGATTTGGGGTACTTGGTACACTTATTTATGGATAGTTTCCCTATAAAAAGGATGCCTAAAGCATGTCAGAAACATAGCAAAATAAAACCTCTATCCCACAAGCACAATATTCAGAATTGTGTGTTGGATTTAGAACCTTTATCAAAAAATAGGGGTAGCATATTGTCTTGTAAGGTTGGTAGCTCTCATCAGATTCTGATTTTCAGTTGCAAGCATGCTCCTGTAAATTTTCTGGCTGAGGGTGCATCTACACTGTAGAAATAATGCAGCTGGCCTCACTTTAACTGCCATGGTTCCATCCTATAGAATCTTGGGATTTGTGTTTTGTGAGGCACCAGCACTCTTTGGTAGAGATGGCTAAAGACCTTGTAAAACTACAGATCCCTACAAATAGCATAGGATGGAGCTATAGCTTTATATTAAAGTGATGTCAAACCATTATTTCTACAGTGTAGATGCACTGTCCCCATATGTGCACAGAATTTGGGAGATGTGTATAAGGATGAGATCCAGTGTGATGTTGGTACAAGAGTATTCCAGAAAACTAACTCCTCTGCCCCTTCCTTCCTTCCTTCCTTCCTTCCTTCCTTCCTTCCTTCCTTCCTTCCTTCCTTCCCCCCCTTTTTTTTTTGCACTCCCCAGGTAACTGAAAATGGAATAGTTACTTTTAAAAGCAAGGTATCATTGTGTAATGGTTTGGGTGTCGGATTAGGACTCTGGGAAACCAGAGTTCAGCTATGAAAACCCATTTGGACATTCCCCCTCTCTCACCCAAAGAGGAAGGCAATAGCAAACTTTCAATGAATCTTGCCAAGAAAAGCCTATGATAGGATTGACATAAGCTGGAGTTACTTGAAGGTATAGTAAAGCCACAAAATACTTGCTAGACGCTACTTTTTATGAAGACCTTGTTACTTGTGAATGATGAATTATTTATAGTTATTAACATGTTGCTGTTGACTTTACCCCAAATTAACATTTCTGCAATGACAAGTAAACATTATTTGTTATGCTACCAAAACCAAGGTATTGTTAACCTACTGAAAAGTAATTATGCTGGACCTTAAAAAGAGAGAGGAGTTGCAAGATACTTCTAACATCTTACTTCCCAGTTATCATTCTATGTAAGGTCAGGAAATCCTCCTATGTGGTGGTGGTGGTGATGATGGGCTGACAAAAAATCAGAATCCAACAGTATCAGATCAGAATTTCAAGTAGTTTATGTAGGGTGCTTGATCCTGAGTGAGTCCACATGATTTTGGAGGATTCTCTCTCCCCTCTCAAGTCTCTGCACTACAACTTCTGATATTCTCCTCCTCCCCACTACCACCACCACCACCATAATCATCACCTTTACTGCAGAATAACATCCATTTTACACACAGGTGCCACATGGGTTGTTGATGATTTCATATTTGGAAAGCATTTTCATTTATTTAGAGCTTCCAAGCTTCACATAGTATAGCAGGGCAACACCTATGATTAAGTCCCTGTAGAGAACATAGATAAATCTAGTTGGTGATCATTCTCTTGTTTTTGTCATTCTATGCCTTCAGGTCATTTCCAACTTGTGGTGGCCTAAGGAAACCCATCTTAGCATTTTCTTGGCAAGATTTGTTTAAAGGGGATTTACTCTGAGGCTGAAATAGTGTGAGAGGGATGCAGTGGTTCAAGTGGTTAAGATGATGACTCTGTTGATTGCAAGATTGACAGGTTGGCAGTTTGAGGCCAGGGTCCTGCATGATGGGGTAAGCTTCTGTCACCAGCCCCAGCTTCTGCCAAGCTAGCAGTCTGAAAGCATGCAAATGCAAGTAAATAAATAAGTACCACTTCAGTGGGAAGGTAAACAGTATTCTGTGCAATCATGATGGCCACATGATCACAGAGTAGTCTCTGACAATGCTGGCTCTTTGGCTTAGCAACGGAGATGAGTACCACCCCCTATTTCAGACACGACTTGACAACCTTGTCAATGGGGAAATACCTTTACCTTACCTTTACTGAGACAGTGTAACTTGCCCAAGGTCACCCAGTGGGTTTCCATGGCTGAATGTGTATTTGATTTGGTTTTCTAGCATTCCAGTCCAACAGTTAAACTACTGTACCATACTGGTTCCATAGTTTCCTTGCTACCATCTAAAAGCCTCATTCTTGGCAGACTTCTAACTTCCTTTTCTTGCATAATTTTCTAGATAAAATAAATACTTTACCCAAAGTTCTAGCACAGGGGTAGGCAACCTAAGGCCCGGGGGCCGGATGTGGCCCCCCGAGGCCTTTGGACCAGCCCCAGGCCGGTCCTGCTGCCACCGCTGCCACTGCCACTGCCGCCCCCCGCTGCTGCCGCTGCCCGCCATGATGATATTGATTATTGTTGTTATTACTTGTTCTTGGGGTTTTCTTGGCAAAATCTCCACAGGGGTTTTGCCATGGCTTTTCTGGGGCTGAGAGAGTGCGCATGCATATTTTTTAAAAAAAATTTAAATTTTATTTATTTATTTATTTATTTATTTATTTATTTTTGGTGCTTTGGCCCCCCCCGGCTCAAAAAGGTTGCCTACCCCTGTTCTAGCACATGAATGCACAATGTCTGTCATAGTAATAAGGGTTTACTCCTGTATCAACATAACGCCAAACTGAAGCAGAGTTAGGACAAGCCTGTGCAGTGGCCTCTTGTGCTTCTACATCTGTATAGATGCAACTCCTTAGGTTGGCTGACCTCATAACACTCGAAAAGAACATGATGTATGAAGTTCAAGTTGGATTTTTAAAACTTGTTTTACAAATGATGGGATCGACAGCAGCCCCACTGGCTGGCGGGGGTTTAAAAATGACTATTACAATGTTAGTCTGTAGTATTAGTATGTAGAAAGATCTTGTAGGACCTTTGAGATTAACTGAAAGAAATTGAGACTGAAAGAAATAAATTGGTAGCATGAGCTTTCGTAGACTTCAGTCTACTTCCTCAGATGCAATTGTAATGTTTGATTTAGTTTCAAGACACTGCCAAACTTTGGGGTTTAAAAGTATATTTGCTCTGTTCTAGGATTTTTTGCTGGGTGTCTTTGGATTATATCAAGTCCTTTCTTAATCCTTTTAACACTTTCATGATCAGATTGCTAAGCATGAGCTTCACAGTTCATTGGTTACCACCTTCCAAACTGAATTAAGTGGGAAAAGATATCCTGAAAAGTTTGCCATCAAGCCAAACAGCTAATTCCATAATGGAGGCATTAGTGCACATTAGCATCAAAACCCAATTTTCATTGCTTGCATGACCACACAGTGAAGGTCCATGCCCATGGTTTCCCAGAAATTAAAGCATAGATGGTTGTGTATTTTCACTCTTCTTTTTAAGATCAATACTTTTATCTAAATATGCTCTGGCCTTTAAGACATCAAGGGTATTGTTTATTCAAAGGCATGAATGGACGTGATGTTTGGAAGGAACCATAGATTAGTGAAATTTATAATGACAAATTTGTTACAATACCATAGCATCTCAACTGGCCTCTTTTATTAAGGTTACAGAACTTTTGTTAGCCCTTACAGTTTTAAAACATCGATTCCATTAAGATGAAGGGTGCTTTCACAAACAAATAATCTGTGAGCTCATGCAATCAGACCAGAATAAACCTTGCCAATGTCTCTTACTTATTGGAAAGCAAAAGGAAATATGTGCCTTGAGTAAATTATTTGTATCTGTCAATATAAAACTGCACATTTGTTTGGAGCAAAATACCCCCCATCATCACCAAAACAAATTACTACCTCCCACTCCTTTGACATCTCTGAGTGTTCAGGCATAGGAATCTTGCTTGTAATAATACACTGGTTGTTCTTTAAGTATTTTGCTATTTAACAATACTTGAAAGCAGCCAGTGGTTGTAGGAAGGCCAGTCTTAGTATACAAAATGAAAGCATTTGCATGTAGAAATGCTGTCAAATAATTGCATACTTGCCCTGCTCTCTCTGTGTGTATTCTGTAGAATCTATGTTTCCCTTCTGATATATAGTAGCCAATACTTTAAAAATACCTAGCCAGATTTTATGGAATGTTTTAGAATGCATTTGAATGAAAAGAACAGTAATTTAGTTAAAAAGTGGATGAAGGCGTAGAGTGAGGACTGTATCACTTCATACAGCAGGAAGCATATTGTGGTGTTAATGGTTTACAATGCAAATATAGCAACTATATAAATTGTGAAGTCATAGGCTTTCATGGCCGGCATCCATAGTTTTTTGTGGGTTTTTCGGGCTGTGTGGCCATATTCTAGAAGAGTTTCTTTCTGATGTTTCGCCAGCATCTGTGGCGGGCATCGAAAAACCCACAAAA